TAATTTTAAATTTTAATTTTATCATATATATTAATAATTAATAAATACTATAAATATATTTTTATCCTATATTTTAAGATACAAAATTAAAAAATTCCAAATAAAATATAACAAAAACGAACAAAAGTAACATTTTTTATTTAAATATTAATTTTGATTAAAACCAAACCAAATCGTGTCTAGCCCTACTCTTGAGGATGCGGGAAATGAAGCAATACTGTTTATCGAAGCATTTCTAATTATTATAATGAGATTTTTTATCTTATACTTTAAGTACACAAGATAATAAGTACTTATAATGGTATCTAATAACTCATTTATTTATTTTTACTGCAAATTCCTTTTTTTTTTTTCAGCCTTGCCGTCTCCCTCTTCCATTCTCCTCTCTTGAGTCTTGGGCTCGCTAAATTTTTTCTCTGTCCTACTCCCCAATCTAATCCAATTGAAAACCATCTGTCATGGTAAGAGATCCCAATAGGAGATAGTCCTTTTGGTAAATTATTTTACTAAATTGATTTCCATTTTCTCCATTAAGATATTTACAATTATTTTTCAAAAAATTGACAATCTATAAAATTTAACATTAAAAATAAAAAATAAAATATTAACCTATTATAAAATCACTTTTAAGACCAACATATGATAAAAAAATAATAGGATTACCCTATTCCTACAAACAAAATAAAAATCTATAATAACAACTAATAAGACTAACGTAATTTTATCTCTATGTCATAATGCAGAATAAATTCAATTAAGATCACAACAAAACAAAAAATTTTGGTGCACTCTAGTTAAAACACAAGTAAATCAGCATTGACATAGATTTACTTTCCTTAAAATTGTGCTCAAGACAAAAAGTAGCTAAAATTAATGTTCCCTTCTAATATTTCAAAGCAAAAACAAGATTCAAATCACCTTCCTTGAAGCAACCATTGTCCGCTTATAAGCACCATTCAGAACATCTTTATTCTCATTCTCTGGACATGAACTAATGTTATGGCAAGGACATTTGCACAAGCTACAAGTTTTCACTTGTTTTGCCAACTCCTTTGCTCCTTTCATCCTCTTCTGCTTTGGGCATCCTTTAGTCTTTGAGATGGGAGGACAATGAACAAGCTCAATATTTTCTTTTATAGGATTGCTCCCTTTTTATTCCTCCTTATCTGAATTTATAAAATCTTCCACACATTGGAATTCTTCATGGCATCACCATGGTCGGAAGTGTTAAGTGGGAAAATCCCACATCGAATATAAAAGTAAGAAACTTGTGAGTTAAATATAAAGAAGGCTACTCCACCTATTGCCAATTGGTTTTAGGTTGGATGCAAACCTTGTGTTGAGCCCACATGCACAGTTTTCAATATGGTATCAGAGCCCAGGTTCTACCATGGAAAGTCCGTTGTTAACCCACGGACCCAAAGTTGATACATGGTCTGCATTTAAGGGGGCGTGTTAACCCACGTGACAGGATCCGACATTCATAGCGGGCCTGCACGTGAGGGGGCGTGTTAAGTGGGAAAATCTCACATCAAGTATAAAAATAAGAAGCTTATGGGTTAAATACAAGGAAGGCTACTTCACCTATTACCAATTGGTTTTAGGTTGGGTGCAAGCCTTGTGTTGAGCCCACATGCAGGATTTTCAATATGGTATCAGAGTCCAGGTTCTGCTCTGGGAAACCCATGTTAGCCCATTTGACAAGACCCGAAGTTGTTACTGGGCCTGTATTTAAAGGAGGCGTAACCCACGTGACAGGACCCGACATTCATAGCGGGCCTACATGTGAGGGGGCATGTTAAGTGGGGAAATCCCACATCGAGTATAAAAGTAAGAAACTTGTGGGTTAAATATAAAGAAGACTATTCCATCTATTACCAATTGATTTTAAGTTGGATGCAAATCTTGTGTTGAGCCCATATACACAGTTTCCAATAAGAAATATATAAAAGGAATTTCAAAATAGTCTTTGTAAAGAAACACACTTAGCACATGATGACAAAGTAATCCTTGGAATTCAAACTTTGACAACCTTTCCCATTCCCCTAACAAAACCCTACATATTTTTTCATTCTTCAATTTTTTCAACTGTTTCTCATCACATTCTTTATTGTTTCTAACGTCTCAAATTAGCAAGAGACAACACAAGAAAATGGTCAAAAAAATAGAAAATACCACTAATTTCACTATGAAAAGGCGTTCATTGCCAAACCGATTGATCCACTAAGCAAGTGCTGTCCTTTTTCCCCAATTCTTAGTTATGGTGAGTTTAATTCAAATCATCAACTCAATTAGCAACTTGATTGATTTGGAAAAGGCAACTTTGCATCTTTGAATCCTCCAATCTTTTGCTGTTTCCTCCAATCTTTCGTTGTTTTCTTTACTAGCCCATCTTTGGCACTTAAACTCCAATACATCCTTTATCGTCATCTTATATTCTTGATGGGCCTTCTCCACTAACACAGCATGCTCTTCAATTTTTGCAACTAAATTGATTAGGATCTCTTACTGTAATAGATGGTTTTCAATTGGGTTAGATTGGGCGCAGGAGAGAGAAAAAATTTGGGGAACTCAAGAGAGGAGAATGGAAGAGATACGGAAAGGCTGAAAAAAGGGGATCTGCAGTGGAAATAAATAAATGAGGGTACTTTAGACTAGGGGTGGGCAAAAACCGGTTTCGGTTAAAACCGAAACCGATTTTGAATTAACCGAAAAAATTCGGTTTTAATTTTACAAACCGAAACCGAACCGAAATTGTTATAAGTTAATCGGTTCGATTACCGAATTTTATCAATGAATTCGGTTCGGTTTCGGTTTTTATTAAATAAATATTAATTAATTATTTTTTT